TGTCTAAGCAATTTTGGTTAATTTCACATGCAAGGATTGAGTTTCCATATGTGAATAACTTTCTATTATTACAAAAAGTATTGTGTGATAGGCACTGTTTTTTGTTTTTTGTTTTTTGGGTGTTTTTTTGTTTTTTGTTTTTGTTTTTGTTTTTGTTTGCTTTTTTGGTTTTTTCTTAAAACATCTGTTTTGGTACATTGTAATTTCAGTGTGCAGCTACTTGCTTACCAGAAGGCCCAAGCACAAAGCACACCTCATAATTGAATGCATTTTGCTCCTCTTCTTTTCCATAAAGTATAGAATGAAAATTTTATCTAAAACTCAGTTAAAAATATGAAAAGCTAGAATCAAACCTGTGATGCTGTCTCAATAGATGCAGAACAGTACTTTAATATATATTTTAAATGAGTAGAAATAAGGTGGAAAATTCTGTTTGAAATACCTTTTTTTAATGTGGGTTAGTATCTTAACCTAAACCTTATTGATATAGGCTTCCTGCTTTATAAAATTATGTTCCATTGCAAATCATTCCCCTGTAATTTAACTGTACTATTTAACATTTCACGGCAGGGATGAGTTCACATAGAATTATATATATATATTTTTTTTAATTTCTGATGTCCTGGGTAAGGAGGCAAGAGGCTAAGGCATGTATTTTCTCTCACTGAAAAGTACTTCACTGCTATTTTACTGGAAAAGGAAGGGGAGGAAGGGTCACATGGTGTATTGCTGTTTGGGAGACTGAAAAGAAAGCCTCTGAAGCACAAGGTGTTAAAATCAAAAGCAGGAAGCCACTGCCTGAAGTAACAAAATAAGGGCTGAAATCAACAAGGTGTATAATTTACACCTCCTCATGGGCTGTGTTTAGTTGTCCCAGGCTTTGACGTCTGCCTGACTTTAGGAGTCCAGCCCACGGTGGGGGTCAGTTACCCTTAGGCTGTTGAATTTTCTGTCCTTGCTACAGCATCAAGCTATTGTCCTGCTCTCTGTAGCTCTCTGACTTCAGGATGTAGCATATTTTCTGTATTTCACAGAAGGCTCATTTGGGATTCTTACAATACTTTCCTGAGCTGTTTTTAGGTTTCAGACAGTGGTAGTGAGCCTGTCCTCTCTCAGGAATTCAGCTGCCAACTTTGTTTTTTTTGATATACGGCATCAGAGCAGCAATTCATTCTCCCGTGGTTTTACCTTCCTTAGCAAACACGGAGCATTTAAAAACATTTTTTGTTTCATGTTTTCTACCAAAAACGTATTTCAGCTTCACTGGGAAGTTCAGTCCCTTAAGCTGAGTTCATAGGATGGGAGTATGTGGAGATGTGGGCCTCTGCTAGTCTGCTCACACATGGCGTATTAGCAAAAGGAAGAAAGATAGATGAGGCAGTACCATGGAGACTACAGGCTGTGCAAGGTGGTATCAAACATGCCAAACAATTTTTCATTATGCTCCTACCTCCTTTTTTTTTTTTGTTCTTGTTCACACTCACCTCTCCTGGGCTGGGGCAGGAAGGCATGCTGTCAAACCACTCATCTCTGCCTGATGCCCAGCCCAGAGTCCCCCACATGCACTTTCCTACCATGTGCTCCTGGCTCCCTCTCTGATACCCTGCTGCATCCACAGAGGCCCTCTTCTCTTCATGCCATCATGCCCCAGCTAAAGCCCTAACTAATTCCCTTCCAGTCCTCTGAAAGGTTTCAGATTTTTGCTTTTGAATAATGGAGCACAATAATCTTAATTTTTGAAGCATGTCAGCCCCCTTCATTATCCAGCAGGATATGTAAATTGCCTACTTTTACATGCCAGACAGCTCGGTTGAAGCATCTATACAAATAACTGAACTGCCAGGTAGAAGTCTGAGCTATCATTTTGCCTCACAGACATAGGCAAAAAAGCAGCTAACAGCCTCAGGCAGATAACTATGTGCATGTGAGTGAATGTATGAAACTTCTGAACTCTTGAGCAGAAGCTTGCTACTTGCTAGCTGCAACCACCATGGACTGCTTGTAAATTTGGGGTAATACAGGCTAAGTGGAACTGTCACGTCCTGAGTTCTCCAATTAATAAAGAGACATGACGCGAGGTCATCAATTAGGAACCTGATGGTGCATTTCATTCCTGCAGACAGTCTAGAATGGGAAAGCAAAACCTTGGGTTCTGGAGAGAAAAGGGTCCTGAAAGGAAGTGGTCTTAGAAAGGAGAAAGAGGGCTGGAAGGAGGATGGGATGATCCTGGAAGCAGGGGCAGATGCTGAACCAGGTGTGCTCGTGCTGGGAGATGCCCTGGGACCTCAGCTGGATTTGCAAGCACCTTGGCTGGTAGTGGTTGGTAATAGCAAAAAGCATCAGAGAAAGAACTAGCACCACCTTCTGCCCAGCCTCCTCACAGAGAAAGGCAGTCAAGACCTACTCAATGATACTCTGGCACTGCTTTCTAGCCAAGGGAAGGGATTGTGCCACTCTGCTCTGCACTGTGCAACCTCTCCACTGTGTGCAATCTGGGTGGCACAATATAAGAAGGACATAAAACGCTTAGAGAGCATACAAAGGAGGGCCACAAAGATGAGGAAGGGTCTCTTGAGGGCAAGAGGTATGAGGAGCAGCTGAGGTCCCTGGGTTGGCTCAGCCCAGTGCTGAGGGGACGCCTCATGCTGGCTGCAGCTCCTCACGGGGAGTGGAGGGGCAGCTCTGAGCTCTTCATTTTTTGTGCTTTTTTTTTCCCCCTTTTTTCCAACATCTAGATAAGAATTTTAAATGTTGAAAATAAATTTTTGTACATGGGCTATGGGGTTACAGTTAAGGCTGGGAGTGTTTATTAACAATCTGAGAATAAGAAGACAGGAATTCACAACTACCCCCCAAAACAAGCATTTTGCAGTCTGAAGTAAGCATGCATTTAACACTAGGTGTTAAGTCTGAACTAAACACAGCTTGAAAATTTAAGCAGTTACCAAGCAGTTTGAACACTAACTTGTAACATGAGAAAGGAAAAATGATTTTCAAAAATCACGTTGTTTGTCACTAGCAATGATAAGAGCTAACAGTAATTGTGGTGCTGCAGACTTTGGATGATGACTATAGGCAGAAGTGGAGCTGTTTGGACACAAAAACAGAGATGGAATTTGCTTGGAGATATAAATAAATATGGCAAGGATGGGCATCCAGGTGTAGAAGAGATTCCTGATGGCTGAGGGAAGATATCAGTAAGCACACAGCCAGTGCCACACAGATGAGGACTAGCTCACTGTTAGTTTGGTTCAATAAATGTACACAACTGCTGAGCTGTGAGCCTTTTATTTGCATGTACTAAATCCTAATAAACCTCTCATTAGGCTTATTGAGCTTAAAGTCATGTGGGAGGATGTAAACAAAAGAGTACTTCCTTTCCCAGGTCTAAGGTTTACAACTATGCTGAGTTCCCATTTCTAGTAAGAAAAAAAATAATGTAACGTGCCATTGATATTTAGGGGCTTCAAGACAACTTTGAGGTAGCACCCTAAGATGTGTGCAGCCTCATTACTGGGGCAGTTTTTAATTGTCTGTAGGTGCACATAAAATGTTTGTGCTAGAGTTGCTCATTTGTCTAGCAATAATCTGAAGCTCACAGGTTTGAAATATTACTGGGAAATGTGGTAGCTTTAAAGCCAAAAATAACAAAAGTAACAAAATATGCTCATGGAAAGAGAGAAGAGAAAAAGGGTAGAAATAGGTTCTGCTGCAAGATTTGTTACTGACTTGAGGCACACACACACATTTATTTAATCATTTAATTGTATCTGGAACAGCTGGAAAGAACTTAAAAATCCTGACATGTAGATAGCTTGTGTTTGGTTTTTTTCCACTCCATGTCTTACAAGAATGAACCCAGATTAAGCTAACAGCAGTCAGACAGACCATGTGTCTCCTGTGTGGAGGTTTCTGGTGAGAGGATGAGTGTGTCCGCCTTAGAGGATGCAGAGCTCTCACCTCTATCCTGCTCTCACAGCACCCCTGCCTCATCCATCCTGCAGCCACACCACTTGCTTCTGTGGACAGAAGTGACATCAAAAATATTTAAAAAATTGAAAAAGAGAGATTCACATAAAAAGTAGTATATTGACTGAAATAAGTAAGAGGTTGGAGGATGGAAAGTTGTAAGCTTTCTAGTGCCATTTATGCACACCAAATTTCAGAACTTTTTGGAGGAGCAGCAGAACTGTCTAACTAAAAAGGAGTAAGTCTCAGCCATAGACAAGTCTTAGTCTGCACTATGTTTGGTCAATAGCAGCCTGCTACATGATAGGTCTTTTTCCTGACTTTTGTTTATGATCTCTTGTTGCAAATGATACAGAAAATGCTTTTCTGTCAGAAAAATACATGTATCATACAAAAATGATACAGAAAATGTCTAAAACAACTGAAGTATTACGTGAATGTAACATGAAATAGATCACATAATCCTGTTTTAAATACAATATAATAATAAATGCATTGCTAACTTTCAAAGGTATGAATGAATGTATTGTTGAAATGACACAGTTGTCCAAGTACACTGATTGCATTCAGCCCTCTGAAATAAAAAAAAAAATTATTTTAAATGCTTAACAGAAATGGAAGTCCTGTTCTTGCTCCTCCTCAGGGATCCTGACACCCCCAAAAAAGTGGAATATTAATTTGCTTTTGAAAAAGCAGAATTCTTGAAAAACAACAAACATACTTTTATTCATGTTGTGAATGTTCCCAGCAATGTGTCATCATTTTTTGGTTGTTAATCAGTGAGACTGTTCTTATTGCAAAACTCTAAATATCAATACATTTTTAAAAAGAATGCTGAAGTACTTATTCATGATTCTGTAAACTCTTCTTGGAAACCTGAGGTATCAGCAACATTCTTCAACATCCTCATGCGACACGCTCTTCTCCTGGATGAAGAAGGCTGGTATTAACATATTAGCTTTGTTTGCTCAAGACTCAACAGTACTTACTCTTTGCTTGCTGGATGTCAATTTTGTTGTTTCAATTTCCAGGTGTGTATGCAATATAGACTGCAGTGGATACAGTTTTAATCCTGTCTGTGCTTCTGATGGAAGTTCTTATAACAACCCCTGCTTTGTTAGAGAAGCATCCTGTCTGAGGCAAGAGCAGATAGACATTAGGCATCTTGGACACTGCTCAGGTAGGTTTAATTTTATTTCTCCAACAAATGTAAATTCTGATATGAATAGGCTTGGTAAAGCCTTTTCATTTTTAATTAGAACTGGCTGATCCAGGTATCAGTGAACTGTATTTTAGTTCTCCTCACTATCAGTGAACTCACCATCTGTATTTTAGTTTTCCCCACGTAGATGTATGTTTACACTGCATATATATGATGTGTATGCTTCTGTTAACTTTTCTTCCTTTGGCTGCTATTATCTGAAAAGACAACAAAAGGTTATAGGAGAATGCAAGCAACATCCCTACATGAGGGTACTGTTAGAAGTAGGAAAGAAAGGGAATACTGGAACGTGGAAAATGCTCACTGTTGCTACTGGAGACTGTAAAATATAGTTGCAAGGTGAGTAAAGTTGAGCCTCAGTTGCGCTGCTGTTTGTCCATTCCCGTTTCCAGTGCTGGAAAGGTGCACCAAAACCTTCAGACTGCTGCCACGTGTGCTGTTGATCATAGAATCATAGAATGGTTTGGGTGGGAAGGGACCTTTAAGGGACCTTCAGCCTGTCCTTGAATGCTTCCAGGGAGGGGACATCCACAGTTTTAGAGTCTTGATTGCAGTCAGATCAAGGTGAATTGGCTGTAGGACCTTCCCATTGTAGTAACAGCTGTCCACCATCCCCTTGCTTGTGACAAAAACTGTAATTTGAATAGTTTGAAAAAGAATATATATCTCAACCAAAATAACCTAGGCCCATATAATGGAAGAGATTGAAGTTCAAAATCTACAGCCTGAGATGTGCCCTGTGTTAGGCTAGAGTATGGGGTTATAGACTCTACATGTTCCTGCTGTGGTTGGATGGGAGGAACAATATGGGAGTGTGTGTGCTTGTACTGCACTTTTTTCTTTGACTGTTATTCTCAATGATGTGTATGCAGTGGCTTGGAATTAAGCTTTTCCTAATAGCTATCCATGCATGTATTTATCATCTAGAAGCAGATGACACAAACGCAGTTGGAAAGAAGGACGACGGCATGCAGTATCGGCCAGAGGTGAAAGGTATCGTGCTGTCTTTGTGCTGTTTGGTTATGGTTTCCCAAGATGAGAAAAGACAGTGAGCAGGTCCTTTCTGGTCTCTTGCAGCTTTGATTTCTGTAGCCAAAACAAACCTAAGAACAGCTTCTTTCTTGCAGCACTGTCATTGTAAGGCATGAAGTAGATGTGCAGGACTTGTGAATTTTGCCTTGCCGTATTCTTTCAAGATACTCAGCTGCTCACCACCCCTACTCAACAGTCACAGGATTAGACCCCTGCCAAGTGCTGTGAAAATGCTTTTACTGCAAGATATCAAGCTGTGAGATAACAGATGAAATTACACAAGCCCCCTGCAGCCCCCTCTTTTCTGAAAACATCTACGAAAAAAAAATGCAGATTCTGTATTTGGTCATTTTAATATCTTTTATGTAAACCAAAATGCTAAATCACATTGGTTGGAAAGGTTTTACCCGTATGAATTAATTCCTTAGTATAAACAAAAGAAGATAGAGTTTCACTTTCTGCTCAATTATTTTATGTGTCAGCACCTCATTTTTTCTCAGAACAAATGCTCATGGCTCTTGCTCAAAGTGTTGCTGTCCAGGAAAAACACCTGGCTTTCTCAGAGCAGATCTGCATAGGTGATAACCTTGCCTCCTCTTCTCTCACAAATAATAGCAGTTTTACCTTCTGTGCTAGCACTGACCTTTAATTTTTTTCTGTCATTATGCTTGTTTTGCACTCCCATGGCCACCCGCAATAAAAGCATTCAACCATGCCTTTAAACATTCCCTGTGTTCATCTTGAAAACCCATTAATTGCCAAAAAGCCCTGTGCTTTTTTCCTTTTTCACAAATTCTTTTATTTTCATTCTTTTTAAGTACCAATTGGAATAATGTAATGTCAATATTCACTTACATTGTGGGGGCATAAAAGGGATGAAATGCAATATACATCTTATTATGTGATTGATAAAACAGCACTTTTGGTTCCTATTTGGAAGAAGTTATAGTCTTTTATTGCTTGCCCATAAATTGTCCTTGAAATCAAGTAAATGAGAAGAGAACTGCATATAATAATTATGATTAAATATATAGTTTGTGCAGTCTCAAGTTCAGCAAGAAGGGAGTATGTTGTGCTAAAAAATAGTTCTAAATTTTTTTATGTGGTAGTCAAGTTTTTTACACAGCGAAAGCCTGAAGTGAAGTACTATGATTGACTTTTTCCTACAGGAGAAGAGAACAGGCTGCACTTCTATCTGTGTGCTTTTACTTTTGAGTCCTGTGCATTATTCTTGTTAAACCCTCTCTTCTGAATGTATAGTATCTCTCAGTCCTTAGAATCATGGTCAGGATGGTCTCCTCTTCCTGCAGTACCTATTGTATCTACCTAAAGTTAAATCAGAATGGTCTCACTTCACTGGTGCAACTGAACTTCTGCTTTTGTCCTGCTAAGATGAACAGCAGTTTCAGTTGCTGTGCAGGCTTCTTCTTTCTGGTAATACGTCTAATTTTTTTTAGTTGAACACTTTTTCTACACCAGTTAAATCTCTCACTTAGAAGTCTTGCTGGCCTCTCACATTAAAAATTGATTCCCATCCCCCAATGGATGGATGAATGTCCATTTTACTTTGCTCAGCCTATGTTCTGTTTCTGGTTGGGCAGTTGTGGCTACCTGGCTGCCTTCCAGGGGACGCATCTGTCACTGGGCCTCACTTTCTGCATTCATATGTACAATAAGAACAGGCACAGCACAGCCATCTGGACAGACTAATGTATGTAGCTTATTACTAGCCCCTGATTGAGATAGATACAACAGTAATTAACTGCTTGGAGGAGGAAGGAGGCAACAATTTTGGGATGACCCAATTTTCCTCCTCTTGGACATACCACCATGTGGTCTTGGATATACCACCTTGTAGTCTATTCCAACAGAGCAGTATCAGGTATACTGTCAGTATAAGGCTATGTCTTTCACTTGTGTCAAGTCTTCTGTAACTTTGAAGAACAGCCTGAACTAATAGGCTTCCTTACTAAGAAACCGAGAGTCTTCTGAAACCTCTAAAGTTTAGATAATTTTTTTCTTAATATTCCAGAAAATGTTCAAGGAGAACCTAGAACAGCAGCATGTGTTTCCTTTTTTTTTCTCTTTGTATGAATGCATTCTCTTTCTTTTTGGTGTTATTTGAAATAATCGGTGATTGTGTAGAATTCTTCTTCACAGTCCCTTTTTGCTTTGCACCTGCAGTTCACTATAATCTTGTATTCGTGAAGATATAGTCTATTGCCTAGAAATGAACATAATTCCACAATTACAACCACATCTTTTGATCCCTGCACTTTAGAGAAGTTCATTACAAAAGACCAACTTCTGTATTTAAGATTTCTTTACAGAAAAAGTTTTGGGGAAATGGTATAAAATGTATGCAGCTTTTGATAGTGACAGATGCAGCAAGTCTTGGGCGGAAGGGATTGCCTTCCTCTGCTGGGCTGCTTTGGCCAGAGTTAAGCATCCACCAGTTGTTCACTCACCTACTCTTTTCCCTCAGGAGGACAGGGGAGAAAATTGGAAGAGCAAAAGTGAGGAAAAAAATAATTGCTCAAGGTAAAAATAGTTTAATAAATGAAGGAGAAAAAAAGAATAAAGCAAGCGATACAGTGGCCATCACTCACAATCTCCCACAGGCTGACCCGTACCACCAATCTCTGAACAACTGCCACTTTGGGAAGGAAGACCAAAACCCCTAGTTCTATTGCTGAGTATCAAATCCTATGATACAGAATATCCTTTTGTACACTTTGGGACAGTTGTCCTCTCCCTTCCAAAGCTCTTGAACACCCCCAGGTTTCTCAGGGGGAGCAGAGGGATGAATAGGACAAAGCGAAAGTCTGTTGGCTCTGCAAGCTTCCTTCAGCAACAGCCAATACTGGCTTGTTACCAACAATACTTCAACTATGAATTCAAAACCCAGAACTATAGGGGCTATAGGGATGAAAGAGTTAACTCCATTCCAGTCAGAATCATTACACTTTCCAAAAGAATTGGTGTTTTAAGCTCGCTGCAGTATTTTGAGGTTCCTACTCTCTGAAAAGGAATTTCTGTAGGAAGACCGCTGTTGTAATGTGTTTGATTTCAGCTGTAATGACTGGTGATACCAGTCAGAAGTTTCTACCCAGTAAGTATAAAATGTGCTTTAGTTTCTTTCCAACCCTTCAGATCTTCTGTTTAGACATGGGAGTGGGCTTTATGTATCTATGTGTTTGCTCTGTGCTACAGTGACACTGACACAACTTCTGATCTTCCCTCGCTTGGTTGTTTCCCTCAAAAATACTTTTCTCCTTTCAAGAAAGCTCACGTAAGAAGAATGTTAGGATATCTCTGAGGATCATTTTTCAGCATGATACATCCTACCAAATAACAGCAGGTGTTTCTGAAACTTCACTCTTAAGCCTTTGCTTCTCTGTTCTGCATTTCTTTACTATCAGTCTTTCAGGGTGTTTCTCAACTATTCTTGCTTGAGATTTTTTAAGAAATACAGTACAGCATTTATATTTTTTATGTATCTTCTTTTTTTTTTTTTTTTTTTTAAAGACGCCAGTGATCAAAGAGAAGACATTTACATTGGTAACCACATACCTTGTTCAGAAAGCTTTAATGGCTACTGTATACATGGAAAATGTGAATTCATTTATTCCACTCAGAAGGCTTCCTGCCGGTAAGTCCTGAATTCCTCCAAAATATGCTTGAAATTGCCATAAGGCTTAATCAGATGTTCCTTAGCCATAATTACAGCATGTATCCGTTTGCAGTTATTTATGCAGTAGCACAGAAGCCACATGCCTGGGCTGTGGGCAGCACAGAGCTGCATTGGTCATGCAAAAGCCAGTGTTTGGAGGAAGGACTCAGCTGCTCAAATGTAAGGTGGTTCAGAAGCTGAATCCCTCTGAAGAATCTGGCCTTAGTGTTGGCTCCTTGTTTTCAGCTGCTAGATCTTGTCGAGAGAAAAGCAAAACCTAGAAACCACTGCCTAGAAACCTTGCATAGTTCTCCTGTCTCACTGCAATTGCCCTTTTGACTTCTAAATCTGTTCTTGCATTATCTATACATCTTATTGCCCTTGGCATAAATTCTCTGGAGTATCAATGTTATTTTCAATATTTATTGCCTACTTCACAATAATGTGTTTTATTTAGAGAGCATAAATTGCAAGATATTATTTATCCACATTTTTTGTCTACTGCACTATTTAACAGCTCGGTATTAAGCTACTGTTACATAAGAAATGTGAACTTTTTATTTCCTTAGCTACAAAGTATTTTTTTCTCTAAGTGTCACTAAATCCTATGTCTCGTTTTCTTTAAAAAAAATTATAAATAAATTATTAATATTATAAATTAAAAAATTAAGAAATCGTTTAAAAATGTGTTTCAAAAAACGGCTACATCTTAATAACATTTAGTGCCTTACTTATTTGGAGTTTTCACTCCTGAATTTTATTTTGCAGATTTGTACTTCCAGAATAATGTAGCTGAAGATGCTGTTACTCTTTGCTATTTATCCTTAGCTTTGGAAACTTCAGCTATAAATCCATTAGGTCTTATAACTTCTCCCTTGATCTTTATCAAGTGAGGCATTTCTGCACTACCAACATTTTAGGGTTTCCAGACTGACCAGAGAGCAGGAAGCCCAAAAAGAAGAGCCAATACAGTCGTTGTTAGCCAATTGAAAGCTTGTATTGCTTTACCCACCTGAGACACTTTCTTGTTTTCAACTCTGTGATAGAATTGTATTTGTTTTTCTCTTTTCTTTGGCCAAAACCAAGAGAGGATAATATGCTTTAGTTTCTCTTGGCAATCTGGTTGCATCCCCAACATTGCCTTGGTGGGCAGCGGTATTTGAGTACAGTGTTCTTTTGATGCAGAGTTGTGTTTATTACAACTTATTATGGATTTATCTGCAAAATATTCAAGTTAGAGCTGTTTAAAAAAAAAACATTCTGAATGAACTGACTTTTTTAATTTCTCAGAATTTTGTTCTGGTTAGCACTGTTATAAATAGTCATTTATTTATTTATAATTCAATTACTATTCAATCGTTTAAATATTTATTGTTAATCTGAAGTACAGATAATTAATGTCTTAATGCTTTTAATTAATATACTGCCTCTTTAAATTCTATTTTATAATTACATTTAGTATTACTACTTTCGGTTATTTATTTAAATGGTTGATTATTTAAGCCAAAATAGTCTCAGCACTTGGCACAGCACAGCAAACCTCACAGGGTTCCAGTCAAGAATTTCTGACTGTCAATTTTCGGCCTGAAGCACCAAATGTCCTTTGGACTTGCTTGGCTATTTAAATACTCACGGTCCTTATTTCCAAAGAGAGGTGTGTGAGATGTACCAGATGACCTACAAAACTGCTGAAAACACCTATTCAGAGCAAACCTGACTTATGCATTCACTGAGAACAATGAATCTCTATGCTCACCGTACAGCAGCCCTCCAGAACTGCCACCAGGTAGACTGGAGGAAGGCTTCATAGGAGTAAATTGCACAATACTCAGTTTAGTAGTCTTTGCACAACTGGGATCTGATCTGTCTCCTGCTGCCTCCCTGGTGCAGTGCAGTTGTGCCCTCATGGCAGGCTGCATCAGGAAGGCAGAGTTCATCCCTTGCAGAGAAATCTAATCTTCATTTCGCTAACTCCAGTAATTGACCTTCAGCATAGTCTGATGAATCCTCGCTGACCTATGTTTATCATGCTTTATATTAATGCAGAATGCCTTAAAATCTGTTCTGCCCATTTACCAGGCAGCTTAAACTATTGCCTACTACTTCACCCACACTACCAACACAATTCTTAACACAAACAGTTCTGCTTTGCAGGAATTCAATAGTCCTAAATCTCCATTCAGTATTTCTTAGAAATAATTTCCTGCCACTTCAGTGTTTCACAGGAAATGTTTTTAAATTACTTGTGCTTCCTTTGCTTTGTTTTGCCTCATGCTGTAAAGCAATTCTCACATTGATCACACTTTGACTGTTGTTATCTTCTTTAACAAAAATAAAAGCAAAGTCACAAAGAAGAATTCAATCCTCTTCACTTGCAAGAAGACCACTTTCTTCTTGTTTCTTCTTGCATGATCAATAGCATTCCTTCTCTTCCTTCTTGTATGCTATCACATTTCTCCCTATTCCTTTCCGATCCTTAGCCATTACCAGGCTTACTTACAATATGCTGAGGCTATTCTTTAATAGCTCTGCTGTTACTGGAACTTATTTCATGTCTGAACGTAAGTATCTTACACAGCTGCTCATGGCTGGAGATATGAACATGAAAACCCCAGCAGTTATCTCTGCACACAAAGGGAGTTTAGGAGCCACCTAAGCAGTTGCAGGAAGGTCTAGGAAATAATTATTTTGTCCCTCTAAACAGAATTAACACCTAACCCTAGCACAAAGCTTTTGTATGGATGAGACCAAGTCTGTGTTGTATCCAGTTTACAAAAGGAGTGGTTTTGTGCCTGTGGCAGTAATTCTCCAGCTTTCTACTGTATCCTTAATGATGTTCTCACATCAGTTGATTTTAAAGGATAGCTTTAGATACAAGGAACTTGTTGCTCCAACGCTTGTTAGTGATCCTTTGAAACAAGCACTCACAGATTCATATTTCAACCTGAAGGCTGAGGGTTTTCAGTAGGTTGATAGTGAAGAGAAAAATTGGAAAAGTAGTTTGGAGACATGGCAGGTAGGATCTTGAAGCTGCTCTTGTCCAATAGTTTTTGCAGGATTCCATATCAGTAAGCTGCAGCTTGAAAAGGCATTTTACTTTTTCCCTGTTTTTTTCAAGGTTTTTCTTCCTTCTCTATACTCCATGCTCATATCGTCATTGCTGCCGGGTTCCTTGAGCGTACTGCTTTGTGTCTCATCTAGTCTGTTTACTTGTTTCATCGAGTTGCTTTGTTTTTCCTAAAAATTGCCCCAACTTAACAAGCACCCCACATATGTCTTTTGACAAACCAGGTCTCTCACTATCCAGAAGAGACTACCTTTTCTGCCTCTCCTCTTGTCCCAGAAATCCAAACCTTTCTCCAGTTCAGGCACTACCATGCCTCCACCTTCTCTTCAGCTCTTTCTCAGTGACTATCCAAACCTCTTCACTCATTCACAGAACGGGCAGAATCTCAACTCTTTTGTGTGCTTCTGCTCTCTAAATTTCATTTTAGCCTTCAAAAAGTGATGTATCCTGAGCTGCTGCAGCAGCAGTGATAGCACTGATGAGGCTGTTTCTCTCCTGCTGTCACTGATGTGACTACTGGGCTTTTTCATCCCAAGTCTTGGACTCTTTCTTTCATCACAAAATGACTGGACTGCTGTCAAAATACATATTCCATTAAATGTTCCTTTTCTTTTTCAGGTGTGAATCAGGATATACTGGACAGCACTGTGAAAAGACAGACTTTAGTATTCTTTATGTTGTCCCAAGTAGACAAAAGCTTACGCATGTCCTTATTGCAGCAATAATTGGAGCCGTACAGATTGCCATTATAGTTGCAATTGTCATGTGCATAACAAGGTGGGTAAAAGCCAAAGGAGTGAAAAATTACACAGTGCACTTATATACTTCTTCTATATTTAAATCTTTTCCCCTCTGGATTTGTATGTGCATTAACAAGTACTCTCAAACACTCATGTAAAAGATACCTATTACTCTTTTTGTCACAAAATACAAATTAATTTCAATTTGCAAACCACCTGCATCCTCTCTGAATCCCCAGAACAGCTACGCATGAGAGGAGATCAGCCTTGAAACATTCAGAAGGTCAGCTATTGTGTTAGAGCTCATATTCAAGTTATTCAAGTTTTGATGTTATCTTATAGAAGATATGGTTCCCCATCCCCCTCCTCCCTGCTGAAACCAGAGAGGTTGACACGTTGCTGTTTTCCTGCAGTTCAGCTATAAATAGTGCTATATCTTGCATTGCCCACTCTCCGGTGAGCTGACTAAGTCCTTTCCTGGTCAGAATTGCTGTCTTTTTCATAATGCTTTCTTAGATGTGCAGCCCTCCCCAGAAAAGGGATGAGAGGTGGCCTCTGCCTGGGGAGTTCCAACAAGCAGCAGAGTACCGGAGGTCCAGCACTGCCAGGTCCAATTGATCCAGTCTTAACACCCCCTGGGTTTTAAATATGAAATTGTAAAAACTAAAGCCAACACAGCTATTCACCATAATACATGCATTTGTCAATCAAGGTTGAAGGGCGTAGCACCTTGCTGGTTTGGTTCTCAAGTTAAGCAGAACTCCTTTCTCAGTGACCAAGTGTCCCACGTAAATCCACAACCATCAACCAGGTACCAAACAGCAGGAGTGTCCACTCAGCCAGCACAGTTCCTACACTCTTTGGCGTTGTTAAGTCAATTCACTATTGCTAGGTTTAAATTTATATGGTATATACTAAAGCATTTGTCCTTTTTTCTTTCTTTCTTTTTTTTTTTTTAAACAGAAAATGCCCCAAAAACAATAGAGGACGTCGGCAGAAGCAAAACCTAGGCCATTTTACTTCAGATACATCATCCAGAATGGTTTAACTTAGTGATTTTTATACCTACATTGACCATGTGATGTACATTTTTATTATATCTTTTTTTAAAGAATGGAAATATTTATTTCAGAGGCCTTATTTTTGAACATTTTTAGTGTAACAATGTTGGTCTGTATTCTGAAAGCATCAGCTCTAACAGCTATGGACTGTTTTAGTACCTTTACTTTTCTGTTTTTGAATACAGTAGTTCATTTTCTGTATCTGTATCACATGGTTATATAATAGACTTGTGCTTTATTCATGGAATGTAATATTTTTGGGAACACAGATTTATTCCACCAATGGTTGTAGATTTAAAAGGGAACAAAAAAAAAAAAAACAAAAACACAAAACAACCAACAATAAAAAGTCCACATTACCTAGCAAACAAGGCATGAACTAAAGGTAAAAATGTTTACAGCTTACTTTTCTTATGAGAAACTAGAAAACACTGTGTTTAAATACCGTAGATATTTAAATGTTTTTGGAAGTTAGTAACTGATTTTTTAGACACTGCCTATCGCATGAACTGTGAAGCTGTGTGCTGTGTGTAGTTGTAATATATTTATGAAACGTGTGGGCTGGGTCAAAGCACTGCCATCTTCATTAATGATTCTGACAATTTTTTTTTAAAGGGCAAAATTATGAATTTCTTAATTTGGGAAGTTGCCTGGTAGAGCAGATGGCACAGGTCCAAAAGAAGTAGGTCTTGGTAGATTTAGGGGTTGTAAAGATTGGTGTTGAATAATTGAACACAAATAATTGGAATAAAGCCTACTTTATCACTACTGAAGCTGTTTTAATACTTCTTAAACTTTTTTAAAGAAAATACATTGTTTTAACACCTACGATGCAGATTGTATAGTGTTTGTGATTCAAATAAATAATAATTCAAAAAAAAAACACAAAAAGAACAAATAAAAGTGAATGAATTACTAGTGCTCTTGTATAGAGTATTTTCAAGAGCTAAGAAAGTCCATCCAAATTAGTCTGCTGGTCATAGTTATATTAATAGACTGTTAGTTGTTGTTCGAGAGATCCAGAGATAAAGTGTGAATAGGACGTGTTCAGCTGTTTTAACATGTAGTGTAGGCTTTCAGAATTTTGCATGTAGGATTTAATAATTTGTTCAATTAAAAAAAAAAAAAAAAAAGCTTTCAAAATTTTGAACTGGAAAAGCATGTCACAATACAGCGTTTTCACTATATTGCCTCTGGTTTAGTGTGTTTATTTGTTACCTCACGTGGCAATTGCAGCCAGCTGAAGAGCTGAAGTTTGTTTTGCTCCAAAAACAGCCAGTGCTCATTTTCTGAGTGCTGTTTGAATTCCATCAGTGCAAGCGCTTCAGGAACACAAAAACAACAGTAGATCATTTAAAATATGCGAGTTTGCTCGCCTGCTTAGTTGGTAAGTTACTTAACTTCCCTGGATTAACGCTAATAACTTCATCAGCACAGAAGCGTGACCCTTTAAATGTGTGCTCCTTTCCAGACATTGCTTCCTAATTTTAGACGTTTCATGTTGCTGAAAGCATCTGATCCATCGTGTGTGGACATTTGGTGTGCAGAAGCATCTGACCCACCTCCGGGAGCGGCGTTCCACTCCCACCCTTCAGCATGGCCGAGGCCGCCTGTCACACCAGTTGCCTGTAGTAGTGGTTGCAGGGCATTCAGACGAAAGCCTCCTGCCAAAGAGAGGCAAAATGGAGCGCCGGGAGATCACTCTGGAGGCTGACAGACTCCACCAAAACCGCCTGTCGAGCGTCACTGAGGATGAGGAAGAGCAGGACGCGGCATACACCATCGTGACAGTCCTGGACAAAGTGGCCAATATCGTGGACAGCGTGCAAGCGAGCCAGAAGAGAATAGAAGAGAGGCACAGGGAGATGGAAAATGCCATCAAGACCATACAGATTGATATCTTAAAGCTTGCCCAGGCTCACGGCAATACTGGCTACACGGTAAACAAGCTGCTGGAGAAAACCCACAAGGTCAGCTCCACCATGAAGGAAGTACGAGCACGGGTGGAAAGGCAGAGCGCCAATGTACGGAAGGTGCAGACAAAGCAAGAGGAGATGCTGAGGAAAAACAAATTCCGGGTTGTGATCTATCAGGTAACCATAACCTGTCTGTCATAACCATTGCTGTGCTGTCTTTGTGCCATGTCCTTGGTAGCTGTGTGTAGACATCATATGGTGAACCAAAAGGTGCAGCCTGTCCAGCAGGAGTGTGGTTTTATGGTTTCTTCAGCACTGAGCTCCACTTCTCCATGCCTTTCAGCAGAGCCCACGGGAGACAGTGCGTGCAGTCTATTATTAGTGTTGGTGGGTTTCAGAGCCAGTAGTGTAAGATTAACTGTGGATCAGCAAGGACTATTTGTTGCCTCTCTGAAAGGTAATATGAGGCAGGCCCTGTAAATCTTGTCATACAAACCATGCCTGACATTCATCTCTCATATTTTTTTCACCGTATTAGGTAGAAGTCCAAATTGTTTGTAAGCTCTCTGGTACAGTGTTTTTCTTTTAATATTAACTTTAAAACAATCTTGTATTTAACTTGCAGTGTTACCCAAGCTATTGCTTGGGGACTTTCTTCATTGTCTCAGTCTGCAGCACTGCTTGCATAAACTCAAAACCACAATGTCTTCCTTGCAGCAAATAGTTCCTTGCATTGCTATCCTTGGCAATGCTTTCCCACAGCACAGTTCTTCCAATCTCCACTCACAATGTTTGGAGAGTGAATTATACACTCTTTCATTTATTCCTCATTGCAGGATGTTCTTTGTTCTTACAAATGATAGTATTTGAGGAGGAGTTTCATGAAATGGCGGGCTTTTGCTGACCCATACACAGAGCCCTTAGTACAGGCAGTTCATGGGATCTGTCACTGACAAGCAAGTGGTGTGAAACTCATTCGTTTAATGGCCTGATCCTTCATTTGCTGAAACTTCTCAGTTCCTCAACAGAAAGTGTGAGTGTTTTATCTTTTGCCAGAAGCATAGTTTCTCCTTCATACCAGTGAATCCCCCAAGCTTCTTTCAAAACAAGTCGTATTCATCATTAGGCAGTCTTGAGAATGTCAGCCCTTGTGAGTAACATGATGTGTTCCCATTGTCTTGAACCCTGATTTTCTAACCATTTTTTCATAAATAACGATATTTTCACGAATGGGTCCACTTGTTTCAGTGAGTATATTCACCAGCATATTTAGCTGACAAATTCTTACGCATAATCCAGCTTTCTTAACTATTTTATTTTCCAGTTCTGGGAAGAAATCGCTTTTTTTAAAAAAAGTAAAAGCTGAAGGTAGGAAATGTTACTTCTTTAATGTAATGTTAGTAACATATGCAGCCAAATTGTGCCTCCCAGCCTTTTCTGACTGAGTTACTTACTGTGGCTGCACAGGAGAAAGTGTGGACAGAATTCAGCCAATTATTACAATTACTGCAAGTTGCACTATCATGATGGAATAGCAAACGGGCAATTTTGCTTTTTCCTTGCATATCTTTTCTCGTCTAAAGATAATAAATATCTTTGACTTTCCTGATTAATGGCATAGTGCCATTTCATCAATAGCCCTTTACCATAATTATTGCAGTAAAGTTGATGCTTTGAAAATGTTTGTTCTTAAAACAGTATTCATGACATAATGCAATTTTTACCCCTGAAAGACCTGAGTTGTCACTTATTCTTTAAGTATAGTAAAATGTTATGGAAATAGATTTACACATAGCTGTAAAGAAATGTTGCTATTTTTAGGCCTTTCACATCAAAGGCAGCTCTCACCATGTGTACTTTCTGTGATAATCACCTTCAGTGGAGCGTCTGGACTCTTTGCTCATTTTGCTGGACAACAACAACCTGCACCGTGTTCCATACGGTTAACCCTCAATTGGAACTTTTCAGGAATGCAAACAGAATTTAGGATTTCTCTCTTTCTAGTTTTCTATTTCTGTTGTGGTTAAGGACTGGTTGAGCACATGAATTAATTCCTCTGTAATTTCCATAACTTTCATAAGGTGAATTGAAGAAACCTTTCCCTTCATGCACAGCAAAGGAGCACTGTATGCTGCTGCCTTTGCTGTCTGACATTTAACTCTTTCCTGGAGGAGAACTGTTTTGCTCCACAAAAGCAAGGTACTTAAGATGGAGTTTTAATGCTCAACTCACTCCTGAAAGCCTCTTTCACACAAGCATAGTCATTTTCACACTGTTGATTTACACCAGTGTAAGCACACTGTTGCATTGCCAAGACCTGAATGACTGAAGCTTGGCTACCATGAGGGGAAGTCTGCTAATAGCTGGTGAGTCAGTGTGGGGCACTCACTCCCTTCACTGTATTTTACAAATAGATGCAACGAAGTTGTTTACTTGGAGGTTGTGAGTGACAGCTCTTCTGTAGTGACTTTTTTTTTTTTATGAGCCATTTGGGACACTGTGGTGGAGCCAGTGACCATGTGTAGCCACAGTGGAATGCTCCTGTGGGTTTTAGTTTTAACTTCTGCCAGAACATGAGGCCTATGAGGAAAAAGGAAACACCAATTAAATCCTAAAGATTTTCTTTCAAGTGGATGGCTTTGATCACATCATTGATGGAAGGAGCAGGCAGGTTGAAAAGGATCGTTGGCTGGAGGAGATTCCCGAGAGACCTTGGCCATGATGAAAAGATTTGGCAAATATCCTCACATTAAAAAGAGACGAAATGATCATCCGTGAGGATAATGATTAGGGGAAAGTGAGCGCTCATTTTTAAAAGGCCATGCAGTTGAGGGAAAGATTTGCTGGCAGGGAACGTTCCTGTCCAGGTTGATGGTACCATTAAAACTGCCAGGGTACGTCAGACTTTCTAGAGATGTCTTTGACTCCACCGTGCCAGCTGTCCTCAGAGTATAACGAGATACGCAGAGTACATCATAGGTTGTACAGGTCTCTGTTCACCTCTGTTCGTGTTATTCTGAATAACCAGCTGTGAGAGCTGTCATTTCTCTTCAGTCAAAGAGCACCTCACAATTTGATTCATTCTGACTAAATTATTCAGAAATAGCTAATTTCTGAATAATTTTAATCCTGAAAGAACTTGCTTCATTTGCTTTCTCTCATGTTCTGCAAGTTCCTCTCTGAATGTGAATATGCAGCCTCCAGGAAGCCCATGTTACAGCAGCTGGTCTTCGGAAGAACATCCCCCGAGGGGACTGCCCCACTGCAGGTTTGGTGGGGGGGCCAGCAGATGAAGCCTTGTGTGGAACACTCATATTGTACATAAACAGATTAAAACAGAAGAGGTTTTCTTGGCCTCTGTCCTTTTGCTGCATGATTATCTGGACATTAAAAAAGGTGAACTTGAAATGGGGACAATAATCTGAAAATCTGAAGTGGAAGCACTTCCATATGCAGTAGGGGTGTGATAGGTTCAAGGGGTGAGGCTGCAAACATGGGCTTTGATGGACCTGGTGCATAAAAGCACCTCTGTCAGCATGCAGTTTCAATTATGCCTGTGCTGAGAAAAACCTGAGGGTCAGCAGGACTTAAAAGGTAGAAAATATAATGCCTCTATTTAAAAAAGACAAAAGAAACAACTGCCATTCATCTGATATCATTTGGGCATGAGAAGGGCAGGCTTAGGAGAGGCTCTAGGCAGCTGTCTGCAGAGCAAAACCATTAGCGCCATGAAGCTAAATAGCTCACCAAGAACAGTCTGTTCTAGGTAACCCATTCGTGATTATTTTTATGTGTTACAGAAACATGGCAGAGCTTATTCTTTTTCCTGTTTTTGTATCTAATATCTTAGCTCTTAGCAGACAATCTGGAAAAAGAACAAATAGCAGTGGACTGTTTTGTGGGACGCGTGGTTTGTAAAAGGTTTCTAGGAGAGTTTGCTTTTCAGACATCGTTGTCAACTGTATGCTATTTTCGTAAATTATCTTGACGCAGAATGCGATGCAGTTGCTAATAAAATACACTCAAAATGATGACCTGTCAGTCCAGAGAAAAAAGTATAGAAAAGAAAGCGAATTGTCTTTAGAGCTAGAGCAGTGGTAATTGAAGTGTGCACAGTCAGCTCCGCTACTTAGCAGAACCCCTTGCTTTGTCTTCCTATGCCCCATGGTTTGGGAAGGACATAAAAGGATACATTCATTTCTCAAAAGATGACTGAGGGTTGCTTGCCATTCATACAGCTGAGGGAACTGGGAATGTTTCATACGGAGAAGAGGAGGGTCAGAGGAGACCTTAGCACTCTCTACAATGATCTGAAAGGAGGTTGTGGTGAGGTGGCAGTCAGCCTTTTCTACAGGGTAACAGTGCTAGGATGAGAGGCAAGTTGCATCAGCGGAGGTTCAGGTTGGATATTAGGGAAACATTTTCAAAAAGAGCAGTGAGGCACTGAAATGGGCTGCCCAGGGAGGTGGGAATGTTTGTGAACTGTGAGGATGTGGCATTGAGGGACATGGTGAGGGTGGACTGGTGGTTAGACTTGAGGATCTTAGTGGTCCTTTCCGATCAGAATCATCCTATGATTCTA